TTTTTTTTTTTTTTTTTTTTTTTTTTTTTTTTGGTATGGGATCAGACTTAGGACCTTGCCCTTGCAAGGCAGGTGTGGCACCACTGAATTAAATCCCTGGCAGAACTATTGATTTTTCAAATGTTGATTTTGTATCTTGTGGTTTTCTTAATATTATTTTCCATCAAGCTATCATTGAAGATATAAAAGCTGTATAGCTTCTGTGACACCTTTTTTTTTATGTACTGGGAATCAAACTCAGGACCTGGCACTTGCAAGGCAGGCCTGGTGCCACTGAGCTAAATCCCCGGCCTAAAAGCTGTATAGCTTCTGAAAGAAGTATGTGTCCATGAAGCACAGTGGTATAGTGAAATTAATTTTGACTTTTTAATTGGAGTCATACTTTCATTAATTGGCTATTTTAAGAGTACCCAGTAACCTCCTTGACACACTTTGAATAATAGAAGAAAAATAGACCCTTTAATCACTTATGGATTGGTGTCGTGGCACACACCTGTAATCCTAGCACTCAGGAGGCTAAGAAGGTGGATCACTGGGAGTTCAAAGCTAGTTTGAGCTACACAGTGAGTGCAAGGCCAACCTAAATTACACAATGAGATCTTGTCTCAAAAAAACCAAAAAAAGGGCCGGGGGTTTAGCTTGGTGTGCTGCCTGCCTTGCAAGTGCAAGGACCTGAGTTTGATCCCCAGTACCAAAAATAAACAAAAAAGGCCTGGCATGTGCAAGGTCCTGAGTTTGATCCCCAGTACTAGAAATAAATCAATAAAAATAAAAAACCAAAAAAAAAGAAAAATAAGAATTTGAAAATAAAATAAAAATCACTTATCTTGTTGGGTGGGGGAATCACTTGCAAGGTCTACTCAAGTCCTCCTATGTGCTCTCTGGATCAAGTATTTGCTGGATTTCGAACACGAAGTCAGATGCTGTTGGGTCACATAGAAGAACAAGATGAAGTCCTCCACTACCAATTTTCTGATAAAAGTGATGATGAAGAATCAAATCAAGAGAAACCTAGAATTAGGTATGTTACATATAGTGTCATTTCATGAGCATTATCATCATTAAATGATGCAATAAATACAGATGATGTTTTTTTTTACTGAAGTGAATCTTTTCTGCTTAACAAAAAGTGGGTAGTTCTTGTTAAATGTACTGTCAGCTAATATGTTATGAAACATGTCTTAAAAATGAAAAGCAATTTTGCTTTCATATTTTTTGTTGTTATTAGATTCTAATTTTGCAAGGGAATATTTTGGATTTCCTGTTTCTGCTGCCTCATTAGTAACAAACACGATCCATTTTCTATTGGATCCAGCATTGGGGAGGAGGCTCCTTTCATTTTGAGGAATATTAGTAAAAGTCTGCTTATTTTATGTAATTAAGTTTTTAGCATTATGATTAACTTTTCTGTGTGTGTGTGTGTGTGTGTGTGTGGTACCAGGGATTGAACTCAAGTCCTTGTGCTTGCTTGCGAGGCAGTTGGTGAAACCAAGGAGCCAAATCCCTGGCCCATGATTACCTTTTGAAGAAACTAGTAAGAGAGTAGATTCAGAAACATGAACAAGCAACTGAGTTTGATTCATATCTTCTTCTTTTTTTAATATAGAAGTCACTCATGGGATAAAAAAACAGGTTCTGTTTGTTCTCTTGAGTTGAATGATACTCAGGATGAAACACAAAACTCAAATTTGGAGAATGAAGGTATGATTTAATGGATATAAGACACTTAAAATTTTTTTTTCAATAGATAATTTAAGAAGCATCTAGGAATTCTCAAAACCTGAAGTTAGTAGGAATGCTTGATATAACTTCCTGTTTATTTTCTCTCGTTTTTCACTCTTTTATTCCTTGGTTTAAAAAAAAAAGTTTTTCTACAAATCAGTTCTGGCTAGAGCTCTAGGCTGACTCTCGGAATAAGGATTTTTATATATAGACCTGATTTGATATGCTGTGTACCTCTGATTAGTTTAAAGTACATTGTATATAATCTAGGTGTCTACTTACCTCTCTGCTGGCGCACAGACCTACCATTAGTGATATATTTTGCATTACAGCCTAATTTTTCTACTTTGCGCTTATCATGTTTTAGAACAAAATTGATGGGAATTTCTGTGCGTCAAATAATAGCATAAAAAACATTTATGTTGCAGAAAATATAATGCAGTAGTATATGTTAACTCCTGTCTTGCTATGAGTGATCAATACATTTTAAAAAAAAGTAAGGTTATAGAGAATATAACATGATGAAAACAGCATCTTTTAAAAAGCTATCCATATAATACTTACGAAAACCTATGTGGTCAAGTACAAATAAAATAATTTTAACAATAAAAGTAAAGATAAGTGCTATGTGAGTAGCCATCCTTGAGCCATTTGTCTGCACCCAGGAAGGAAACTTATGCCAGAGTATAAATGATTGCACTCATTCCTTCATCGAACATGCTTTGCTATGAAAAAAACAAGTTAATTTTAGGAAAGTATGCTTAGTGACACAGCTGATTTGTAGTCAAGGGCAGGACAGTCACTAACAATGCTGGAACGTGGGTTAGCAAGATACAGATGGCCTGGGGCCAAGGATTTAGCTCAGTGGTGCAGCAAGGTTCCGATTTTGATCCCTAGTTAAAAAAAAAAAAAAAACCAAACAGCCATAGATACAGATGGCATTTTCTGATCACAGTAAATTAGAACTTAACATAAAAAAAATTTACACTTCTCCTCACCTGGAGATTTCCTATGTATCTCAAATAATGCAGTTAAAGGCAGTGACAGACTATATAAACTGTGTGATATGACAAAAGTCTACGCATGTGTGCATTTTTTTCTACTAATGACCTTCACTGAGCTACATCCCTAGTACTTTTTTTTTTTTTTTTAATTTTGAGGCAGATTCTCACTACATCCTACATCACCCAGACTAGGCTCAAAATGGCCTCAGTCTCCCAGTGTTGGGATTATAAGCACGCATCACCAACTCTAGCTCTTTTTCTTAATCTAAAAATATTTTAAGGAAATGAAAACATACTGTAAGCCCAAAGTCCCAAATGTTGTGTATTTTCCTCTCTTTCCTTTCCTTCTTATTTGTCCCTTCCTCTATCTCTAAATTACTTTTATTCTGCTTTGCTTTTTAAACTATTTTAAACTATTTTTGTTTCTCAGCTTTGTTTCTTTTATTTTAAAGATTTAAAGATTGAATGTCTCCAGGAGAGTCAAGAGTCAAATTTGCAAAAGTTAAAGAATTCAGAACTCATACTTAATAAAGTTAAACAAAAAATGAATGAACTTACAATTAACATCAAGATGAAGGAAGATCTGATTAAAGAACTAATAAAAACAGGTATGGTATCCTGTGAGCTGGCTTTTATGAGAAAGAAATGCTTCTAAAATTGCTTCTGTTGTAACATGTGCTTTAGTGTTTGAAGCTCAGCACTATCCTCTGTAGTTTGGATTAGGTATAACAAGCTATGTTGCAGAGCAAAACATAGAGATTAGTTATCAAAAGAAAGTTATGCTGGGATTTAACCTATGAGTTGCTCTAGTCTGGGTAAGTGCTGTGTTGTGCTGAAACTCTATGGCATTTCATTCCCCTTTCTATTTAGAAAAACATTTACTAGGCATCTAGGAATACATCCAAGTTGTTTTGTTAAATTAGTTTAAATTATTATTTTTCATTGACTTCATTTTAATGTTCATTTTAAACATTTTATTTGATTTTGATTTTTTTGGAGGCAGGGTCTTATTATACATCCAGATTGGCTTTGAATTCTTGATCCTCCCACCTCTGCTTGCCATGTACCACCACATTTAGCTAAAATTTATATTTCAGATGTAGAAAGTTTTTTCTCTAAGATATAAGGATTTTCTCTCCTAGGTGAGCCAGACTTTTAGCTTTCATCCTTTGTTTCACATCCCAAATTAGGGAGATTCTCTCCCTATCCTTAGCTAGATCAGTTTTGCCATGACACAGGCAGCTCAGGCTTTGGGATTTTCCCCTCCCAGTATACATTAAAGGATCAATCTTCACTACATCAGAGTTCAGGAGAGAAGGAATAAGAGACACTAGCATTTCCTTTATCCAGTTCAGATGCAAAACAACTCTCTGTTCTCAGCTGGAGGAGCTAAAGAAAATACTGTTTTCCTTCTCTTCCAGCTCAAGGCTGTCATCACACTCAAATACCTCAGTTATGGTGAGAAGGCACCTGCCTTCCCACTTCCCTCCTCTTCCTACAAGTTTTGTTTCTAGCTAGTGGCCTGCCTTTCTCAAACTCTTCTGCCTCCCCAGAGCTTTCCCTCCTCTCCTAGTGATGTGTGTGCTGCGAATCACCCTGACTCCAGCTAGCCTGGGTGTGTGACTAGTCTTCCTTACGGGAAGGATGTGGTGCCCCCCTCTACTTAGGAGTACACAGGACTGATGCAGAGCTTTAAATAGTTTCTCCCTCTTAGAGCTGCAGGGCAGTGCTTGTGGAACTTGGGAACATTTACCCCATAAAAAGAGAGGTTATCTCAGCATGGATCTCACTGACCGAGCATGCATTTGTAGCCTGCTGTACCCTTCCTACTTGCTTTAAAACAGAGGACCTCCCCGCACCCCTGGGCCTACACAAAGCCAGTCTTACTCCTCGGAACCAAAGATGGTTTGGAGCTTTCCTAGAGATTCTCAGAGATAGTGGCTTACAAGAGGGCCAGTGCATGCATGCTTTTTAAAGTCTTATTACTAAAGATTTCTCCCAAAGTGCAACCACTTTAGCCAGCAATAAGTGCATGCATAGTTATTCTGCATCAATTCTAATATACTTTTTCATATCTTAATACTTCAGAATTCAGGGTATGTCTTAGAATCGGTGGGTGCTTAGCATTTTATCATGGTGCAGTTGGCACTGTGTTTGTCTTCTCAGTAGCTCATAAACCGTAGGTCTGTTGAACAGTTGATGAACAATTCAAGATTTGTTAAAGCACATAGTAATCAGTCACAGGACCTCACACATGCTCTTCTCATCACTGGCTGTGTACCCCCAGGGCCAGTTGTGTGTATTTTATAGCTAATGGCTTTCGACAAGATAGTTCACTATGCATTTAGTTCAGTAACTTTTTCATGAAAAGTCACAGGATTTTCCATACAGCGGTATAACAAGTTGTGTAACAGTATCATAAACTGTCCCTGGTGACATCTTCCTACTGCCATGAGTTTGCAAGTATAGTTCTGGAAGTTTCCTGTTCAGAATTGATCAAAACCAAACCTTGAGTCAGTAGCTTGTCTTAGAGTGAAAAGGAATTAATTTATATATTCTTTGTTTAGTGTGTTCTAAATATTCCTATAAAAGCATTTTAAAACAGTCCATCTTTAGCAATCCATTGTAGTGAAAAAGAGAACTATCTCTACATTAAAAGATTCTTAAGGAACATAACAACCAGTTATATTGTAGACTTTATGTAGATCCTGATTAAAATAAATTGTTTATAAAAGATAGATTGAGCCAATTGAGGATGTCTGAATACAGACAAGTGGGAATTAATATTGTTAGGTGTGATAATGACTTTTTTGTTATATCCACATTTTTATGGATGCTTATTGAAGTTTGTAAAAGTGAGATAATAAAACATCTGAGATTATTTTTTCATATTTAAGCAAAGTAAAGCTTTTTGAAACAACTGATGAAATGTTCAGAACTCTACAAGCAGCAGTGGGGGTTCATTTTATTATTTCTTTATTTTTGATATGTTTAAGATTTTTCATAATAATTTTAAAAAATTGTTTTTTCTGGTACCGGGGATCAAACTCAGGACCTTGTGCTTTTGAGGCAGGTGATGGAACCCCTGAGCTAAATCTCCAGCCCAACAAAAATTTTTTTAATTCAACAAGGTAGATTGTGGGTAGCAGAAAGCCAAAGTTTACTAAGCAAGAGGATAAAGTCATTCCTAATATCCTGAGTAACTGGAGTTTGATGCCAGGAGAACACAATTGTAAATTTAGGGGGTAGAAAACGTCATAAAAATACATGAAAAGATAAACCGGGTGAGAGGATGGAACAGCGCCAGATGGGGATAGCTGTTAAGGGGCGTGGTGGCGTGACGTGTTCCGGGTGGCGGAGGTCTGCTGTGCCTGTAACAGTAACTGCCCAGCTGGACCTTTGCAGCAGAGCATGTCTCTGTTTTTACATAATTTGTAATCGTTACTGTTATTACGGTGAAGGTAATGATGCCAAGTCTGTGAGCAAACAGTATTCTCTGAAAGTGACAAGATTGGGGCACGAAGCAGAACGGGCGAAAGACGAGCTAACTGAGACTGAAAAGAAGCTGGCAGAGCTGCAGAAAAAAGACCTTTCTGATGTCGCAATGAAGATAAAACTACAGAAAGAATTCCGTAAAAAGATGGACGCTGCAAAGCTGAGAGTCCAGGTAACTTTAAAATGTACTTGAGAAAACTTTTTAAGCCTTCCTTTCTTTTAAGTAAGAAATTCTTCCTTATTTAGGAATCCTTGAGGATTCTTGTACCAAGTCCAGAGAGGAGTGGGACTCAAGTCTTTATTGAATGGCAAATTTTCTTTCCCAGTGAACGTGCTGGTGGACTTAAATATTTTATAATCTGGATAGAATATGTCTTTACTCAAGAAATATATTATTTTGGGTTGGTGGGTAGCTCAGTGGTATAGAGCTTGCCTAGCATGTGTGAGGCCCAGAGTTCAATTCCAGCACCACACACACACACATACATACATGCATGGCTACAAGGAGTATATTACATCAGTCTTGATATACAAAACTACATGGAGGGAAATAAGAATAATGATAGCCATAGAAACAGTTTCCTTTCCCATGGGACAAAAGATTAAATAATGGTTAAGCAATACATATAAAATATCTGGTTCTATATATATGGTACTTTGTAGACACTCAACAAATTTGGAGACTAGTTTGGACACTTTTCCGAAGCCATAACTGATTAGTTTAAGAAAGATTAATAACTGAACACTCCATCTTAGTAGTATCCTCTTGCCTAAATTCAGCTATAACTTCAGAAATAGCTACAGTTAAAAATTCTCTTCTAGGGCTGGTGATGTGGCTTAGTGGTAGAGCACTTGCCTAGCATGTGTGAGGTCCTATGTTTGATCCCCAGCACTGGAAAACAAGCAAACAACTATTCTGTGAGAAATATTCTGTTTCAGAAAGATTTTTTGTGTAAGGAAGCTATTTCAAGATAGAGGGACAGCTTTGTTAATCTGATCATAATGAATTTTCTTTTTCTTTCTTTTTTTTTTTTTTTGGTTTTGTTTTGTTTTTGGTACCAGGGATCAAACTCGGGCCCTTGTGCTTGCCAGGCAAGAGGTGGAACCACTGAGCCAAATCCCCAGCCCCATAATGAATTTTTTAGAATGGCTCCACCTGTTCTTTTTGCCTCTTAACCTACTGCTTTTATATTGTAGAAACATATTGTTTCCATTACAGAAGAGGTGAATAGTAGGCAGCATATTTAGGGCATTGTGATTTGGGGGTAACTATGCTGCCATTACTTGTTTTTCATCGAGACGGATGTCTATTCCACATCTCTAGGTTGCCAGGTCTTGTCACAGGTAGGGGACGCAGCGATGGCCAGGCTAGAGAATCCTTCCTCCTCCAGTTTGCATTGCCACCTCAAATATCTGCATGTGGCCTTCTTCCATTTCCTTTCAGAACATATATTCTGACTTAGAAATTTACTCTGGAGTCGTGGGATAAGTTCTGTTTCATTTCCTGATCCTTTAAAGTACAGTTATACTGTCTAACAGAGAACTTGTTTTGACAGGACATTAGGGGCCAGGGATTTAGCTCAGTGGTTCCAGTGCCTGTTTGGCAAGTGCGAGGGCCTGAGTTCGATCCCCAGTACCAAATAAATAGAACATTAGTAGAAAAAAACAAAATTTGTTGTCTGTGTTTTTTATGAAATTTTATTTATAATTGCACAGGTTTATATTCTAACTTTAGTTCTGATTGCATTTCTTATGATCAACATTAATAATTGCTGGAATTATTTTCTATGAAATAAGCAGTTATTTTCTATAGTTTAAACCATTTAACGGGATTTTTAAAATATTTTTCTATCTCACACAACTGAAATGGTTGCGATTAATAGGGTTTGTGAATTATCACAACTGTTAGATTTTCTGCTTTAGCGCTGTCTATCCTTTTCTGCTAAAGGCAGTGACAGGAAAAGAAAGATACAGTGCTAAAGAAATGTCTGACACTGCGGAGAGCTGAAATAAAGTCTGTAGTTGTAGAAATGTCCGTGCTTCCGTATATCTAGGCCCTGCTGACCGGAATGAGGCTGGATGAGAAGGGTAGTGGTGCCATCTGGGCTCTACACAGTGCCTTGCACATACCGGATATTTTATATGTTATTATTTAATCCTTCTTTACTTTACAAATGGGGAAGCTAAATGGTAGAATAATCACTCATTCACAGTTTACGTGGTGGTGGTGACACTATCAGTTTTCAGTACTCTGACGTGTGCCATTTAAAAATATTGAAAAGTAGTATTTTTATTAGTATAGTACAGTTACTTTCATTTTAAAAACAATATATTTAATATTTTAAAAACTAAAATTTACATTTTGTCTTTAGCTTTGTGTAGAGAGTTCTATGCAGTAGGAATAGTTTAGGGGTCACAGAGGTGCACTTTTAAACACCTTGAATAAGTGCAAAAGACATTGGCAACCTTATCTGACTTGTAAAGAAGTTTTTCGGTGTGTACACTAATATTCTCAGTGTTACTTGAAAAATGATGTTGCCACTTTTGCTGCATATTTCAGGATCTGTCAGTGTTAAGTGGCAGTCGGTGTCCCAGTTCCAGGTGTGGCCTATGCGCCAGTGCTACCCATAACCAGATTTTAGTTCCGACCTGCAGTGGAGTTAGGTCAGTCATCACACAGCTTCCTTCATCAAAATAGTCTTGCGTGCCTGGGCACGGTGGTGCATGTCTGTAATCTCAGCACTCCAGCCTGGGCGACGACATATTGAGAGCCTGTCTCAAAATTAGAAAGTGAAAAAGGGCTAAGGATGTAGCTCAGTGCAGAGAGCCTGGGTTTCATGCTCCATACCAAGAAGTAGAAAGAAAGAAAAGAGAGAGGGAAAGAAAGGAAGGAAAGAAAAAAACAAGTCTTACAGTTACAAAAGCAATCTCAACTCCGTCAAATAGTACACTTAGTAGTACAGACAACAGGTGGTGAACTGGCACTGTGCAGACCCACAGACCACTTTGAAGAGCACTGTTGCTAGTTGTAATAACTTTGCGAGTATTATTTATTAATGAAAAGGAAACCTGCTATTTAACAGCCTATTTCTAAAATAAGGGAAAAACAAATTGTTGTCTTTATAGTTTACAAGTAAGCTCTCATTAAATGTTTATATGACCCAAGAAGTAGTTAGTACAATGCTAAGAACATAATACAAGTTTAATAAATATTCATTTGTTGGATCAAGATTAAATTGTAACACTCTGGTATTTTATCTCAGTAGCAGAAACACTTTGAAAATGTTAGCAAAGTTTTAATATTATCTGTAGACAATTTTAGTTAGATGTTAAAATAATAATGATCACTCAGAAAATGATATCAATCTAATTATCTTAATTCAGGGATTAATGATTTAGGCTACAGCTGGATATGAATATAAAAGCACAGTGGAATACTGTACTATCACATAGAAAGAATAAATCTTAGACTTCTAAGATAAGTTAAATAGAGAGCTAGGCATGGCGGTGAACACCTGTAATCCCAGCACTTCGGAGGCCGGGGCAGGAGGATTGCTGAGAGTTTGAGGCCCATCGCAGCTACATAGTGAGTTCAAGACCAGTCTGAACTACATAGCAACACCCTGTCTCAAAAAAAAAAAAAAAGAGAGATGGAGA